AACAGCTCCGTGCAGTAATGGTGGGTAAGGACCCCTCTGCACCAGTGTGACAGTGGCTCTTCCACCCACACTTGCTCCTCCCCCACATCACAGAGGACAGAGGAGGTGTCCTTCCCAAGTCAAGGTGGACCCTTCATTTGGTCCTGGAGACCACTCACTCCCCCTGCTAGGGACTTCACACCCCCAGCTCACTGCGTCCTCCCCAGACTGCCATGGTGCGGGTGGTGACTGGTGTTCGCCTGGTGTGGACTAACCCAAGGTGGTGGGACGGGGGCTGACCCACCTGGTCCCTGTCCTCCAGCTGAGCAGCGTGTCATCGGCAGGAGCCAAGGCTGGTGATGACAAGTACGTTCAACGCCCCGAGCTCCGTCTGTATTAGACACACACAGGACACCACAGGGGACAGAAGAGACAGAAGTGCACATCCTCAGAGCTCACGGCAAGAAGGCAGGTGAAGAGGTGGCAACCCCGTTCCTTTGATGGACGCCTCAGAGCTCACGGCAAGAAGGCAGGTGAAGAGGCGGCAACCCCGTTCCTTTGATGGACGCAGGATCCATCGGAGTAAGAAGGGGAGGAGCCTGCACCTCTGCTGGGCTCCTGAGGAGTGGGGCATCGGTCTCCTCTGGGTTCAGGGGGAAGCTGACAAAGGCTTAGCCAATAGAAAGTGGGGTCTGGAGAGTCACTGCAGGTGACAACCAGGGAGGCCTTCCCGTGGCACGCTCTCACTGTACAGTGCCCCCGGTCAGCCCAGAGGATTCCTGGGCAAGCGCAGGGGCGGGGACCCCCAGGAGGGCCTGCCTTCTCCAGGCACCAAGCCCTGGGGAACCCTGAGCAGAGGCCTGCCCAGAACTGGGGTCCCTTCTGCAGGCCACGGAGGGCAGCGGCTCCTTCTCACCCGGGGCTCCAGGCTGCGCTCTGGAGGAGAGCCCCTGACGAGGCTGGCTGTGCGCCCCAGAGACTCGTTCCTCCTGGCACCTTATCTCAGGAGCACGTGTTTTCTGCCTGTGAGCACCATGCTGTGTGCAGAAATGCACAAAGCACCAGTTTGTGATTCCTGAGTAATATTTGCAAGAAGTCAGACATTATGACATCTGTCATCGTGCCTGGAAGCATTAACAGGGCAGACGCCCTGGACCTGCTGGAGAGAGGCTGCAGGAACAGAGCTCACGGGGCCTGCATGCAGGTCTCGTGTGAATGAAGTTCCTGGTGTTGTACAGTGCACTGTGTGCACAACAGTGCCTGGTGACCCTCTGTGACAGACAGGGAAGTCAAGAGCGCCAGACAGGGAAGAGCTGGTCATAGTTGATTCATTCCACAGCGTGGGAACGTTTGAGCCTAGCTGTGGGTGGTGCACAGTTCAACCTAGAGCTGAACATTGCTAAGTACCTCACATGATAACTAGCAATATCCAGGGCTCCAGGATCAGTAGATGGGTGTTTGATCTCCAAAGCCAGCATCGGGATAGAAAAAGAATGTACAGCTAACAAGCTACAGAAAAGGAAATGAAATCATAAACAAGAAGCCGAGAAGGAGGAGGGAGGGCAGGACAGCAAACCTGAGGAATGAGAGGCCAACCCAAGCACATCAGCAAAGCCACATCGAGGGTCAGAGTTCGCATCCTAAACACAGCCCAGCTTCATGCTGCTTCAAATACGAGCTGAACGCAGGGCGTCGACAGAGTGAAGGGTGCAGAGGGTGCACAAGGCAGGTGCTGAGGAGCCTCCGTGCGGCCACACCCAGGTCCAAAGCAGAACCCTCGATGGCAAGAAGCGTCACGGGAGAGAAGGACGCTGCTCGGTGCTTGAAGGAAACCCCCAAGGAGACAGAAGCCCCAGCTCTCTGTATCTCTAGTGATATCGCTTCCAAATGTGCAAAGCTAAGTGGGCAGAAGTGTCCAAAAGAGACGGACGCACTCATGGGACAACAGACGACTGACAGGCACGGTGACCATGAGACCGGAGACGTTCACAGGTGAAAGCCACAGAGACAGGAGGTCTGTGCCCCGCACAGACACACAGACCCACGCACCCCACAGAGGCAGACCTGTGTTCAGAGCATAAGGAAAATCCACTAAAAGTGGCCTATGCTCACCCACCAAGCAAATCTCCAAGAAGTTTCAAAGGATCAAACAGTAGAATTTAACTAGAATCCAATAATAAAAAACGTTACGAGCAAATCCCCAAATATTTACAAATTAAGAACTTAGGCAACGCGTGAGAGCTCTGATTAACAGGAACAAGGGTGTCCGCCGCGGTGCACGCCTTCAAGAGCTCAAGGTCTGTGGGGGAAAGACGCACGTGTGGAGAGCCATTGTGCTGGGTGGGCAGGGCTGAGTGCGGACCGGGAAGCTAGGAGGCTTTGCGCATGCTGGGCAGGGGGACAGCTCAAGTCCTCAGAGCTGAGGATTATGGCGGGAAAGACCTCGGAGGAGGAGACACGCTGAGGCTAAGCCTTGAGGAGTGGAGGAGCGTGCTGAGGCAGAGTGTGCAGAAAGCGGCTGGAGCAGAGGGCGGTGGGAGGAGGCCGCCGCAGGCGAGCTCAGGAAGACGGAGCCATGGACGCACAGCCCAGGCAGAATGCCAAAGCGACAAGGGGCAGCTGAGGGCCCCACTGAAAGGCCAGGTGGTCTGGATGTCACTTTGAGCCCCACGGAGAGTCAGAGGAGGGTTGGAGCCAGGGTAAGCCCTGGGGGAAGCGAACTGGCAGGAGCATGGGGAACAAACCAGGAGGCGGGAGAGAGCCCAAACCCTGGCAGCAGGAAAACCCAGGCCTCCCTCCCGACAGAGCCACCCACAGCCCCCTGAGCAGCAGCCTAACAATGCACTAAATCACCGCCTCATCGCGCCCTTCAAAGTTAATGCTCCAAAATGGGAAATGTGTGTCGAATGTTTAGTCTCATCTGCGCCACCCAAGCCCCAATTTAAAAGCTAGATCTTTTTTAAAATAGAATGAGACAAACCCCTTAGACACAGCTCAGACCCTCGGAGTCCCACGTTTTTCTTTTAGCAAATACACCTTTTCTTGCATATCCTGTGTCTCTGGCAGTGTGGGCCGTGACCTGAGCCTCTCGTGATGGAATCCCAAGCAGTTCCCAAAGCTTCTGGCCCCCTTCCCAAGCCTCCTGGGTAGAGCCCACCAGCCCTGGAGCCAGGCTGGCTGGAAAGGGACCCCGGGCATGACTGTGTCCCTTCCCCTCATGTCCCTTGTCCCTTCCCTCCCCTCGAGTGCTCTCCCTGCTGGTCCATGCCCCTCCAGAGAGCACCCTCCCCTCCCTCCTCCCCTCCC